CTAAAGGAAATGATAAAATTTAGTTAGGCAGGCGCATTGGAGCTACAGAGTACGCTTAACCAATGGTATTTAAGACATTCTAAAGCAAAAGTAACTATGTGAAAAGGGCTGAATTAATCAATCGTCTCCTGGGCAAAATGTCCCCACACCCATTTGTCTAGCCACTAATCTGAACACCAATATTCCCCTCTGGGTGATATATGTACATTGCAGGGATTTTAACAAACTCCAGCCATGGATGGTTCGAATCCTGCTGAACCAGCCGAGATACAAACCATTTATGGGCAGGCCAAATCTACCAAATTTGACCATTTAATGAATGTATCAAAGTTGATCGCTGGATGCCAGATTTTACATGTGATGATTGCCATTGTCTTCTACCAGCAGGGACGGAACACAATGGCTCAGCGGGAGGAATCAACACTGTCTGTATTGATGGGGGGGGGGGGGGGAATCCAGCAAATCTCTTTCCTGTAACTCGCGTGGTTGTAGTAAATACATTTGCACCATCTATGGCTTGCATAAGTCACGTCTTATCTCACTAACTATCCTAGCTTAAAATTACCATGGCTGGGTATTTATTTATTTATTACAGCACCATCAAATTTACGCAGCTCTTTACATATATGTTGTACATTTACATCAGTCCCTAACCCTCAAGGAGCGTACAGTCTAAGGTGTACATTTGTTTGTGTTTTTTTCCCCATTCAGAGATGGTCTTACTTTAACATTCCCCTAAAACTTGGTGTATTCGTACTGCTTGGGCCTTGAAGAAGCAGATACAACAAACGCCATATAAGTGCACTTTAAAAAGGTACAGGGCCGGCGCTAGAAACCTCCCAGGCGCAATGCATCCTGGGGAAACTTGCTTCGTATTGTGAAAAAAAAAAGTGTAAACCGAGACATTATTTTCAATGGATTTTCGTTCATAAATCAAAAATTACGTTAACCGAGGCGTTCGCAAACCGAGGTACGCCTGTGCTAATATGGACCAGGCGCTTGGAGCGCACACACCTGTGACTTCCTGTCTGCCTCCAAGTCTGATGAAGTAGAAAGCTTCCCCAAAAGGCGTTCTAGCAACCAACTGTCCTTTGATGTGCGCAGGGGATGATGGAGTTATGCTACAGCTTGGAAGGCAGAAGGGAAAGCTACGGGCCAGAGGTGTGTGCCTCCAAGCACCGGGTCCATAGTGGTATATGATCCAGTGGCAGATTCTGCCCTTGCCACCGCCAGGACTTGTCAATTTGCCTTGATATGCACCGTGCGAGGATTTTCAATCTGAAGTGAACTACACGAATTCATTACAGAAAAATGCTATATTATGCCGCCGAACCTTCTTTTTGTTTTCTATTAGAAGGTAAAAAGGAATCTAAAAAAAAACAACTACATTGTACTGCCACTGTATAGTGTATGACCTGGAGCACCGAATTTCAGGTATGGCATTTTTCACAACTCTGGACACGAACTTGAGAAAAACAAACCTTTTATTTATCAGCGCTGGTTGAGTAAGCAAGGACTCGTGTATGCAAGCTAAGTGCCTTGAAAAGCATCTTACAGGGTATACATATCAGCAATTACGTCACAATGCATATATTTCCTTTTCTTTCACTTTCTGTACATTTAAAAGACTTTCTAAGCAGTGCAGGATGTGGCCTTGCTAGATAAATTATCTTCAGCTGAAAATAAGGGTGCAGGCTGCAGACTGAAACACATTATTCCACAGGAAATAAGGGAGGGGGGAAGTGAGCTGATAACCTTGCTTTGCAAACAGAGGCTGTTAGAAATGTAAAAAACTTAAGGGGAACTCTACAATATTTGGGTGCTGCCACATTGAATCACACAGCCATTCACACTCAAGCATGTTCTGACATGGTCTAACTTGCATTCTCCTGGATCGCTGACCAGTTGACTACTCTTTACAGAGAGTAGTAGAAATATCACAGATGTACATTGCACCGATGGTGGATAATGAGTGAGGAGTCTGGAGCAGCGGATTAACATGACATTTTGTGCAAACATTGGAAAAAGTGTGTTCGCCATAAGCCTCTTGTAACAGAGCTAAAGTTTGACTCGTTCCATGAAGTAACCAAGTGTTTTGGAATGGCACAGGCGGCTTAACCTCTTGCCGTCCGCCTGCTGTTTATAAACGGCAGGGCGGTGGCAGTCCAGGGTCGGGTTGCCGTCCATAAACGGCACCCGCCTTTTCTAGCTGTGCGCGCTCCCTGGGAGCGCGCACCACCGCGATCCGGTGCCCGCTGTGTCCTCCGGACACAGTGAAACATTGATCGTCGGACGGGACCTCTGTACGAGGTCCCGATCATGTAATCACTGATTGGCGAATCAGTGATCACATGCAAAGTAGTAAGCAAGATGTCACTTGTGACATCATTGCTTACTATGTGTGAAATCTGTGAATGATCACAGAGGTCACATGGTACAAGGCTATTCACAACAGCCTTGTACCATGTGACAAGCTGTGACCACTCACAGCTCACTCAGTAATTCTCAATGACTGCAAGAATGCAGACAGAGAGAAAGAGAAATGATTGCTTTTACATCCTATATGGGTGTAAAAGCAATCAGTGTAAAAAAAAAAAAAAATCTTCATCACCCTCCACAAGTAGTACAGTGTCACCATGGTGACAGTGTACTGCTAGGGTGACAGTATGTAAAAAAAAAAAAAAAAAAAAAAAATATATAAAAAAAATAAAATAAAATGTAAAAAAAAAATGTTTAAAAATTATAATTTTTGGTTATAAACTAATTTGGATTTTTTTTTTTTACTAAAAAAATAACGGAATAAATTTTGGCTAAGATTTATGATGAAATATTATTTATTTGCAAAATTTTATTTAAAAAAACACTTTTTTTCAAAATTTTTTAACTTTTTCATTTACATAGTAAAAAAAATAAAAATCCCAGCGGTGAATAAATACCACCAAAATAAAGCTTTATCTGTCTCAAAAAATGGTAAAAAATTCATATGCTACAGTATTGCATGACCGCGCAATTGTCATTCAAAGTGTGATAGCGCTGAAAGCTAAAAATTGCCCTGGACAGGAAGGGGTATAAGTGTCCGGACAGGAAGTGGTTAAGGAGGGGCAGAAAAAAGCCAATGATGCAAGAAGTAGGCAGCAAAAGGCACAAATAACAGATGCAGATGTGGAAAATGAAAAAAGGTACTGGTATCTGGAGAAAAAAAAACTGGAATTCTGGCCTAATAACTGGATTCTCCAGCACAATACTCCTGTACATGATGCTGATGATGTGTTCGAGTAACTGGCTTAGAAATTTATTCAAAAACTTGGCCAACCACCTTATTCCCCCGACACAGCACCCTGCGACTTTAGGCCATTTCCAAATTTTAAAAAATGCCTTATAAAGGGCACAGATTTAAGGAAATTCTAAACATCCAACGCAGTTCGACAAAGTATTCTGGAAAACAAATTCCAGGAATGTTTTGGCAGTGGCACAGTCATCTAGAAAAGCGTGTCCCTTCACAAGGAAATACTTTAAAGGTGACAGCAGCCGCTAGTGTATAGGCAAGCAAAAAAATTTTTTTTGGTAATTTTACAGTCCTTTTCAGGATTTAAGCTGTCACACCTCATACATTAGTCCAAGCTTGATCAAAGTAACTATGTAAAAAATATCCATCACTGGAATTCTTTAAAAAGCAAATCTATGGTCTCTGAAGATGGGGGGGGTCTAGGTCGATCATTTTCTAAGCAAACTGATTTGGTCATAGGACTGACACAAAAGTGAAGAACTGCAGATTATTATTATATACAATATAATACATTTACAATGTATATAATATATACATTATAATACAGGACTTGTATAGTGGCAACAGTTTGCGCAGCGCTTTACAAAATGAAGGTATGAGATTACAATACAATTTGGTACAAGAAGAAACAGAGGGCCCGGCTCTGGGTGATACAAAAGGTAATAGCTGTGGGGGGGATGAGCTGATGGGAGAAAATAAATGGTGGTTTACTAGGTAGAAGCAGGATAGGCTTCTTTAAAGACAAAGGTTTTCAGGGATCGTCTAAAGGTGGATAGATTAGGAGATAGACAGATTGGGGTAGGGAGTTCTATAGGATGGGAGAAGCTCGGGAGAAGTCTTGGAAGCAAACATGGGAGGAGGTGACACGGGAACTAGAGAGCAGAAGGTCTTGCGAGCATCGGAGAGAGAACGGTTGATATTTTGAGACCAGGTTGGTGATGTAGCTGGGGCAGAGTTGTGGATGGCTTTGTAAGTTGTTGTTAGTATTTTTAATTTCATTTGTCGGGCAAGTAGAAGCCAGTGGAGGGATTGGCAGAGAGGGGTAGCAGACACTGGATTTCAGGGGAAGGATAAGCTTTGACATCAATGTTCACTTTTCTTACCATCACAGAATGTGAACATTCTAATAATTGGCCCTAGTATGCGATTGTGAGGACAATCCAAGAAGGTGAGGGTACACCTGTAAATCATGTGGTGGCATGGAATGTAGTGGAGACTGGGGGTGCTTGAAGTTATACACTTGATGAGGAATTAGAAAATTCATGGATGGTGAAAGTAGGGAGGACTTTTTGCTTACAGACTGTTTTGCACATGGGTAATGTGTTTACGCACAGTGGACTTATTGATCTATCTATATACACACACAGGTTATAGTTTTAACCACTTCTCCACTGGGCCAATTCTGACATTTCTATCCTACATGAAAAAAAAAAAAAAATAATACCACAGTATTTTGCTTTTACTCAGAACCCCCCAAACATTGTATATATTTTTAGTAGAGAATCTAGAGCACAGGTGTCAAACTCAAGGCCCGTAGGCCAAATCCGGCCCTCCAGGCCATTTCATGTGGCCCTTGCACCTCTCCTGCAGGTACCCCCTAGTCTCCGCCCCCACCTTGTCTAAGCAGTCGGCAGCAGAGACAAGAATAGAACAAATCTGCTCATCCCCGCAACCCCTCATCTCTGCCTGCCCTGGACTCAGCATTCAGCAGACT